GCTTAAATCACTAATTACGTATAACTAATTAATTTGAACATGGAGCTAAAAAAAATTAGTCTGACCTAACCAGTAACCATGTCCGCCCCGACTTCCGAGGTCACAACTCTTGTGGCACATAGGGGCTATAAAGCATTATCATGTCGTTTCACATTTTTAGTTTGTAGTTGTTGTTTTTTGTAGAGAAGCTGAAATAATAACAACACAGAAATCAGCAGAGCAATGTTTCAATTGCATCTAATACTACTTTTTAACTAATTATTGCACCGCAATCATCTACAACAACAAGGCACCAAGACTCACTCATGATGGGGTAGTCCGAGTCGACTTCCATGCAACAGTAGTTAGTATCGAACTTTTAAAAATATATTTATATCTAGGCTGAAAGACAAGTAATGTGACTGAAATGAAACAGTCGGGGTATACATATACACACTTATTGTTTTACGATGCTTAAATCTAACTATGACCACCACGGTGAACTCCCATCCACATTGGAAAAACTCGATGACATGATCGACTAGTGTTACCCCATAAAAATGTAATGCTGAAAAAGAAAAGCGCGACCGTTTTTTTTTTATTTATTCAGTTCTATTGTCAATCAACTGAAAGAAGCAATGGTATATCATTAATTTAATTCGAAAACATCCTAGGAAACACCCTATGTGAAAACAATTCGAAGCCGGAGACAAAACACCGCCTCAACATAAATAGATTATCGAAAAAATAACGAGAAAAAAACATGAATTGCCAATTTAAATCATTTGCATTCCAATAATATATACTCCACCTATCACAATGGGCCAGTTATGTCCGATCTAAATTCCCAATAACCAGAAATTTTTGGTTCCGACGTGGAATTTCCAGGAAGCTGGATTTGTTACGTTGTAATTTTCTAGCCCCTCGTTGCGTCACTCTGGAATTACGTTGCTTGTGCTTGCAAAAATTTAAGCTGTGTTTTTTTTTTACGGATGTCAGTTGACCAATGTGAGAAGTGGCAATTTATAAAAAATTTTACTATTCACTGGCAATAGTAACGTGTTCGTAACTTACAGTACAAGATGGCGCCGTCTTTTCGGTGTTGTTTACACGGTGAATAAAGACCAACATTGCGGTGTGTGTCCGTGAATACGTCTACTAGTACACGGCCGTCGCACGTAAATTGTTGTCCCTTGCAGTATGTTGTACGATAGTGATCCATCGAAGTGAATTGAGAAGGTAGTAAAAGGCTGGATTTCAGTAAACACTTTGTAAAACTCACGATGACAGGGTGTTGTTAACACAAGCGTTGTCATTTGAGGGTTTTTTTCTTTTCATTCTTTGCAATTATCGACTCAATCTGTATTACTGGAATTTCTGCATTATTGAAGTTTACTGTAGACACCTAGAATTTGTTTTTGTTATTATTATTAAACGAATAGAACTAATTAAATGTACCACGATGTCATAATGTCACCAATCCCGTGTTATTCTGTGTGTGTCCAGTAACTGGAATGTGACGTCATTCGAATAGTTTAGTTTAAATATCGGGTATAGTTTTATCTCTCATGGAAGGGGATCATATTCGGATAACCACTTGTCAATGAATTTAATTTGTATAAAACGAGGCCTCTGTCGAACAATGAAAACATTAAATCCAAATTTCGTTGAAAAAGCTGACGGGAAAAGGGAGTGGAAACTGACATACACTGCATGTTTATTCTCCGAGGGGAAACTCCCACCATTTATAATTCTAAACCACAAACTAACCTAATGACCAGGCAAATATGAACAAACAAAATGAAATGTAACAACTATAGGAAGAAGTAACAGCGCCTATTTTTAAATGATGTAGACTAATTTGCTCCCAATTTGAATCAACGAACTGTACAATGCTGCGTCGGGTAACCAGTCCATTCTGATTGACAGAAATGCGTGGTAACAACCTCGACCTGGCAATGCTTTTGCGGCGGGCGACACTTACATGGTCATTTGTCGTTCTAGGTTGATCCCCGTGTAGTCACTAATTTTTACTACTTTTTATAATCAACACCAAATCCGAGAACGAGGTAAGAAAGCGAAGACGTCAAATGAGGTTGCTTTCATTGCAAGATGCAGAAACATGTCAGTTTCACTGCACGTCGGTTGCTATGACCATGGTAAATCAGATTTAAACCGAATTATGATGAATATAATTTAAATTATTGTTGTCGCAAATTATTGAAAACCTTATGGATAATATATATTAAATGGGTTACTGAATATTTATTCCCTAGTTAATGATCCACAACACTTAAAATAGTTTTTAAGTAGATTTCATAATCACTAACTAACGTGTTAAAGTTACTGATTATTAATACCCTTCATGCAAATGGTAACTATGTTAACAATATTAATTCGGTCGTTGAAAAATATCTACATGTTCAACACAATTATAATTCTGATAAACACTATTGTATGTTGTTAGATTCACTTTTTGAGGTAAATCAATTTCGACCCTGGCGTGGTTCCAGTGAAACGACGAGTCAGCACAGAGACGTCCCACGAAATCAGGGTTCACAAAATCTTAAAGCAGTATACATACATTGAGTGTTACCAAATGAATAAACACATAGTGATACATCACACGACAAATATAGCAAATATTTATGATATATATTTTGATGATATCTCGGTCGCTCACTCGTTTTGTTAATTTAAAAGGTTCCTAGCAATTTTAATGTTATTTAACCAATAGATTTTGCTCCAGAGTAATTGCTTCCCACCCTATTTCAATAATAGTGTGAAAGTTGGTCACCTGATTGTATCACAGGTTATCACTATGTTTTGTATTTTATTTGAGGACCTGTTTGGAAGTATTCAAATAAAATTGATTTTGTATTTAGCTCTCTCTTTGTAGATCACTAATATTGGAGAAGGGGAACTGGTTTTCAAAATCTAGTTTTTGATCTGTCCAGCTATGACAGTGAAACATGGCATGCCGTCTATTCGTTGTTTACTAGTATATAGTATGTGTTTACTTGTAATAGCAACGATTATAATCCAACAACGAAAACGCCCAATATTTAGCCCCAATGCAACTGTCATTTCTTTCAGAAATAGTCTCATTTCTTTCACGTAAATATCTTGTTGGATTACCACCGATGTACTTACACAGTTGAATACAGGTTTAGTGGGAACGTTTGGCCCGAAAAATCGATTGTAACTGTTTTACTACTACAACAGTTTCTACATTAACCAATCAGTTAATCAAATTAACCATCTCTAATAAAAGTTCTTTAGCATAATATGGTGTAATCTAAACTCAATTTTATTTTAGTATTATTGTGAATATATCCAGTTTTACACAATGTCCGACCATGCCCTACTTTTTGACATGAGTTGCCATTGAAGTCGAGACGGTTGGCGCGGAAGCCCCTGGTCGTAAACATGTTGTAGCTCGATGCTCCTTTGGAACGGGGAACATAGAAAAATCACTGTTTCCAGGAGAAATAATACTTCAGTTGTTTTTTGAATTGTTCTACTTTTTTACAAAGAGGTCAGCAAACCTTCATTTATACTACTCGTGTTATGGCGATGTTCGTTTAGTCATGGTCGATTTTCAACGGTCTAATCGAATTTCGACAAAGGGAGGTCGAATAAACGAGGCGTTCACATTTCCCTTATGCTTAACACATCTGGATTACTACACATTGTTTCAGTCAATGTAGGTTAAATTCGAATTAGATAATATTAAATAATTATCACATAGCTGGATTGCAACTTTGCAACGGGTCTGATTTACTGAATGAAATCTACAAACCTGTTCAAACTGAAATATTTAAACTCTTCATACGTGAACTTCTTACTTTCAAGGTGACCGTCACGACGACAGACGACGTATTTTCAAACACTTTCGATCGCTCATTTTCCGACAATATAAAAATAAATATCCTTACAGGCCTAGTCTGCAGGATGTACCCTAACGATAAAGCTCACCAAAGGTCACCGTGACGTCAACGGGCCATCCGATGAACGGACCAATCGAGCAAAAGAATACGTATCCTATTAAATATGAAGGACACATGCACGTGCCCACACTGTGTAGCTCAATAAGATACAAGAATACAGCATTTCATATAGCTTATCTAAGATAAATAAAAACATTTCGAAATTCACCAATAAATTTAAAATAGTTACAAAATTATGATAAAACCGTATGTGAACAAATTAAATAATCTATTGTGGGTAGCAAATAACAACTTTTTGAGCAAAAATATTGGATAAAATGGTTTCCATAGCAATGTAAAGTCACATTCACAGATCCAGACATAACGTCAACGTGTGCAATGCATTTTATTATATAACGATGGAAATTAGTGTACGGCTATATGCCATAAGTTTTTATTATCGCCTACCAGCTGTTCGATTGTCTGTCAACAAGAAATATGACAACACCTTCAGTCAATGAACACTACGGTGAACTAGAAATAGAAACAAGCTCTACGTGTTACTGAAAGTCACTTGGTATATTATTTGTATGATCCCAGCGTTGCTAGTTAATTTCATAATATGCATATTCAAATAAACTTCAACCGTGACTTGTACGCTATGAATAGTTACAGCAACAATAATGGCATGTAAAGATGTGACGGTGAATTATTACAAAATAAGAATGAGTTAACAAACACACAAGCGAGCATGAAATGATATTGTAAGTTGTTATGTGCATTATAGGCGAATATCGGCGTCGGCATGACTCTTTCTTCTTTGCGTCGATGTTATTGTGGGAATCCCGTAGATTTGTGCACTACGGCGAGGCGGTTTTGGATCCATGTCACACGACGCCGATATCAGTACGTGTATATACACTAGGGTATAACAATGAAGCCTTTCCAGACAAAATATAACAGCATATGCAATGTGTATCAAATGATAAAATATCGTATACAGTTATTACATCGGGACAGTATGAATGCGTCCCTTCCCAAAAGAAACGCGTAGCGGGGCTCACTGAGCTCAGGCTGCATTGCGGGTATTAGCCTGAGCATTGCCGGGGTGTGTCGGGTATCTGCAGGCGTGCAACTCATGAACGACTGCTGCCATCGATACGTTGCTAACTTTTTAATTCAGTGTATGTTGTGTTTGGTGTAATTTGTGATGCAACTAGCACCGTAACTGCCAACAAATAAGTACTATGTGAATTACCACTCCGTGCACAGAAACAAAATAATGTACGATGAGAAACGTTTTCAAGCTCACCTCTTAGAAACCCACCGGATAGTAGCTGAGTTGGGGACTCCAGCGTGTATGGATGTCTAGGTCAATGTCAGAGTCACCGTGTCAGCAGATACTACCAGGGCATGTTAGTCCGAGCCAGCGCAGGTACGACTGTGCAGGCTACGAGAAGTGAACCCGCTGATATAGTCGAGTTCCAGGAATTGGTCCTCAGCCCGGTTGAGGAAACTCGGTTACCTGTCACAGTTTTCGTAGAACTGCCTGCAAAACATACTTATCACGCGATCTCGGTGCCTCGTTGCAGAAACTCATTTCAATATTTCATTCACAATCTATAAATGTTAACGACTCTTTTATTTAGTTCGAAAACTTTTAATAGAGCAAAGACCTCGTACCACTGGCTGCGGACATCGTCACAGTGTCAATACGCAATAACAAAGGTCGCCGTGACAATTAGTGATCACGGGGTTGGCGAATTTTCTGTCAGACTTCTTCGTTATGAGTTCACGTAGTCACAAGCGAACTGAAATAACTTCCATTCACTGTATCTAACAAGCAACCTGAGCTTTACAAATATGGCGTAATTCGTTTCATGGAGGTAACTGTCTTTTTACCTCCATGTTCGTATTCAACATGTATGGCCATACCACCGTGACATTGACGGGAACTGCCAGGCCAGGAGTGAAATGTCAATTTCGACACGCTCTAATGACGTCATATATTATCCATGCATCAGATATGAACATAACAGTGTGTCGGGGTCATGATTAAAGGGGTGCAATGTAGTCAGAGGTCCCCAAGCTCTGTTGTTGGGCTGGCCATTGTATCATGATTGTTATTTTAACACGCCCTATCCACAAGTCACATGACCAACAGCTTATTATAAGTGCGTACAACGCTACAACTTAGGGGAAGCGAAGTTATTTGTTTTCTACCGTATAAAATTGATTATATAATATCAACCATGTAAATAATATACACATATCTGAATAAATATAACCCACATTGTAAGAATATTGCGTTTTTAGTTTGTAGTGTTGATTTGACGTACGGGCGGCTCATGACAGAACTACAAATCATTTATATTATTTTTAACAAAGCGTAAATGCGTTGTCATAATATCCGCTATTACCTACCGTCTGTTGTATGACATGCCAGGCTTAGTGTTGAATTTTAATTCGTCGCATTCAACCTAAAAAGCAGTATTCGTGACCATTATGCTGTAGTGTCGGCGTTTCACGCTGGTACGAGGCCCACGTCTACCTATGGGCGTAGAGCTGTCAGCTGTATTTTGATCACGTTTGCCGACCCTTGACAACACTGTTATTAAGTGTATAACCTACTAAAACGCCGTGCACTCATTTGTTTGTTGTATATTTTCTCCCCTTAAAACGGCCACACAGAGAAAATATATCTCAAATATTATGATCATGTTGTAAAGTATATATATCGTAATTTATACCGTCTTTAGTATGGTTATATTAAGTCGTGTTTATAACGATATGTCTGAGCTGGGGTGGCTATAAACGACCGCGGTGACCTGGCATTACCGGGAAACGATGGGACAATTACGACTGGTTCTCGGAACAACCATAGGTGGCGTTTGCCAAGAAAGTCAAAACAAATAACAACAGGAATGCATAATATTTTACTTTTCTGAAAAACTCATCCAGGTTTATTTAATTAGCAATTTAATTTACCTGGGCTGATAATTTGAGAAGTGTATTTTTACTTCCCAAAATGTACTTACAATAAGACTTCCTTTGAACTACGCTGCGCAGCTATATCACAATGACAACGTGACCTTGGGTTCAGTACATTAGTACTGTAAGTGATAACTATTGTACCACAACAATCCGACTGCCAGTGAAAGTAAATCACAAGACATAGTTTTTTCTACACTGAAACTATAATAATATATTTTAATGTTTCTATGTCATACAGAAGTGGCGTTATTCATATGTGATTGATGTTACTAATATAATGACGACGGACGTTTTTTTTCCACAGTCGCTCATTTGAGGGGCTGTGGATTTAACAATTAAGTAATGTAGTAAACCGTTAAAAAATGTTAAAAAATCGCAATAAACCCGTCACTGTACATCATGCTAAAATTGACATACTGGGGAATACAACACGCATATACTTTCTCTTGATATTTGCAACTAAATCAACTTGATATAATACAGTCATTATATTTGACGATATTCTGGCAATGGTGGCTACAAACCCGCAATAGTGACGTCACATTTGGTGTCTATAGAATATTGATCGGTCGTCCGGTTACCCACAATGAATTGCGGCTTTCGTGTCAGTTTCCGCTTCTGGTTTGCAGTGGGAATAACCTACATCACGTGATCCAATCCCAGAACGGCATTTTCGGGACACAAATATTTATCCAGACAAGGACGGGTTCGATGTAAATGTCACTAGTCGTTTAACAATTTGAGAAGTCATGCTTAACAACTTAAAAAAATCGCATGACAAGAAGTAAAGAATAAACCCTGAATATTCAGTATATAATTGCATCAGCCTTCGGTGATAGAAAACAGCTTGAACTTATACAATACACTCGTGGTAAATATGTTCTTCTAAACAACAACAACAACAAAACAAGTGATAAATGAATCTCTCTGGTAAAGTTCAATACACTCAAAAACTTGCTCCTTATTGGTTTAAAATACACCTGACGACGACCGTGCACTTTGCTTGTAAGCAGTCAATAACATTCATTCATAGATATTGGAGATGATGTTTAACACACAAGACGTCACTCTCTCGCATTTCTCCGTCTCACAGTACAGTTCATCAAGTGCGACTGCAACAGATACGAGAGTTGTTCCCTTTCTTCTTGCAATTCTTGAATTTGTTGCATTAAAATATCCTTTTGTGACTGCAGTTTCTTGGTTTCCTGTCAATAATAATAAAAATAATAATAATAATAATAATAATAATAATAATAATAATAATAATAATAATAATAATAATAATAATAATAATAATAATAATAATAATAATAATTCAAATACCTTTCAGGGATTACCCATTTGAAATCTGAGAAGATGGAGAAATTTGATTTGTTCTGGAAAATATTGCATTTACTGTATGCCTGGAGTCATTATTGTATTTCCTTTTTTTTAAATTGTTTCAAAATTTTATTAAAAAGTGTATAAATTGTGAAAACCGTTTTACCGCCATTTATACACTATCATAATGTTTTATTTTATTGAAAAAGCACCCAAAATTTTTTTTTTCTTAGAAAATTATCAAGTCCATCATAATAAGTAATCAACGTTGGAATAAGAGGGTGTTATTGTTAAATTCAGAGCGCATGCGTCAAGTTATACCTTTCTAGGGTCAAAGTTCAACACTGCGATGATAATTTCAACAACGCAAAATGGTGCGTTGAAACTTTCAATATGTTATTTCCTCGGAGATTCCAAAAAAAAATGCACCGCGAAGCAGGTTTGACGGAATTCCCCTATACTACATAGCTGGATAATACATGACAACAGCGGGTCAGTACAACGGAAAGTACAAATCACTAAATGGTCGGTGTATTTAATTAAAATCGATGTTATTGTGGTTGCGAGAACGCAATGAAAGTACTCACTGATTTTAACGTATTGTAATCTGCGCATGCGTTGACAAGGAACTACTAGTATATTGAATGCCTTGTAAATTTTGCGTATAGTAGGATGACCTAGTTATAGAACAATTCAATACGAATTGATGAATGCGCGTACAAGGAATAGTCTGTTAGAATTTAGTACGATTACTCAGATTTATTGGAGTGAACAACTTGAAAACACACAACTTGCTTAGTACGATGGCGTGTTTTCCGCGAAAACGTACTAAAAATATCGTCTGCTGTTTACACGCAAATAAGTGGCACAAATAAGGTCACAAATAGTGCAACAATGTATTGTGACGTCAAAAGGGAGTAGTTAGTTACACTTGGAGAGATCAAATAAAAGAACAGATAGGTATGGATAAAATTATTAAAATTGACCAATTTAATAGTCTTGAAAAAAACCGGGAGCAAGAGCGACAGGCTGGTGTTTCAGCACGTACTTCCAAGAAGTCCTTGGTCATTCAGTACGTAGTCAGATATATGTACGTGGATTCGATGTTGCCGCATATTACGTATTAAACTGTGTCACTGTGGTGAGCACTCGCGTATGAAGCTCACGTGATACCGTCATTAAACACACAATAGGCTACAAGGCGTGAGTTGGAACCAACTGAGTGTACTCAATGTAATAAAAGCATGTGACATACTCAATTAAACACATAAAGTGAAGGTTACCTTTTCTAACTGTTGTGCTCGCTCCCTCTTCTTGTTTCGGCATTTGGTGGCTGCTAGTCGATTTTTTTCTCGCCTTTCGTGTCTCCTCGCCTCTTCTTCAGGCGTTAACTGTGAAATAGAAAATTTGTCACTAAGATTAGAAAAAATATATCGTTTTGTCTATAATCAGTCAAACATAAAACAATGTAGATGTGTGGGTAACACCAACATCTAAAACTTACCTTATCTGAATCGATCAGTTCAAACTTGGGTATCCAAGGATCCATATTTTAGACACTGTTGTATGATACGACTTTTATCGTTTTACTTTTCTGAGCTTTATATATATATTAGACTACCTACGCTTGTATTTATGCTGACACCAAGACTAAATATAAATAACTGCTTACTATGCTAATAGGTAGAGGCAATCCCCTACCAAATTTAGAAATATGCAAACGCGCATGCGCAAACGGATGTGACAACACGTTTTTGTGAATGGAATACAATGAATAGCACACAGGGGGTATTCCAGGTAACACGCCAATTCCACGAAACGGCAGTCATTTTGTACACCCTCGAACTCAATCAATCGTAATCTGTACTGCGCATACAAATTCTTGAGTTCCCTTTTAATAAACATCAATAGGCGAGTATTAAAATATGTTGGTGTCGTTTAGTAATAAATATCTGTGTAATATTAGACTGCGTAGTATTGAAGTGGCCATATTCGCTTCACATAATACTGAACTGTAAGTGAACTCTATTCTGTTGCTGTCACAGCGGCAATGCAGATCGTCGTTCATTGAGGCAATTTCTGGGGATTATGATTAATAAATAAATTACTCTCAAATTATTGTTAAATTATTAAAATATAAATATTATTTTCAATTAAACCAGCGTTGAACTCATGTTGAATCTAAAACATCGAGTAACAACGTTTGACTGAATTATTCAAGTATATGTATATACCATTTAGATCGGACGTGTTGATATTGTTTGAGTAATTTATTGTACGTTATCAGATTGGGTTTCCCTAGTAGTACGAGTCACCGATGAATAAGTCGCCCTCAACGACAACATGTCCACACCTTTCATAGTAGCGAGGTTCACCGACTATATCGTATCGCGACTCGTTGCGTAATCTTGCGAATATCGTCATGTTTTTCTAAAATTAGCAAACGTAGCGCCTATTAAGAAGAACTTGTATATTGACCAGTTCCTGGGAAAGGTGCGACAGTTAGAAGAATCGGTAAGACTCCCTAGGAAACCGTTGCTGCAATACCACTGACTCCTATAGGGATTGCAAAGTTCGCATTGAACTGGCTAGCGTAGCATTACAAGACTCAAGTACAAACTCAATAGCTGGAGCTGCCTGTATAACAACCAACCTTCCAGCGGTCTGGGTAACGTACAATAGGCCGCGGTGAATCACTGCTTCACCGTAGATGGCGTGTTTCATTTCGTAGAAAAACTGACGGCGGTGCATCATCGTACCGATATATACTGGTACGTGGAAACGCACATTGTGCTGCTAGTATACACCATCGCAGTATATGTGCGACGTGTTTTAAATACATAATAAAAAAAATAAACACGACACGTACACACTAACGATCAGCACTCAGACTGGGACGGAAAGGTTTGAGGTACAGACAGAGGGTACAGTACTCATTCGTTCGTTTTTGACATGCGTACACCTTAGCGCAAAATATGTCAACGTCATCCTATAATTCATTATTCCAGTATTAGTCAATAGTCTTGTGACGGTAAACTGTCAAAATTAGTCATTTTCACTAAAAAATATGTATTTGTATTAAACTAATGGTATTTTTTTAGTTTTGAGTAGCATACCCCCTCAACATAGATTGGTTTAACAATTCATTGATTCATTCAAAAGAAACGAGCCTCGAGTTCGAGTTGAATGAACCGCGTGAAGCCAATGTAATGCCTATTATCAAAAATGGCGAACTTAGGTATCATGTTGGTACTAGTTCGTGGAAAACAGTGTTTGCATATGATTTTAACAAGACAAAGGCAGCTAGCTCTCCGGCTATCGCCGTATCGAAAAAGCTCAGCGTACCTTGCCTTTCTAGTTCTTAATCATGGATGAATTTAAAACATATATGGCTACAGAAACGTCCTCTTTTTAAATCGAAAATGTAGTACGGTGCGACGAAGAACGAAATGACTTTGCGTTTAACGCTAAACAAAGCCTTGGGTCCAATATCCAATCGGCGGCCGAGTCTCGAGTCTAATGCTGTACAGAACGAATACATGGCAACATAAACGCCAACGCAAATGATATCCGTCGACCCCCTGCCACTGTGTCCCGATGTACCCTACCTTCCCCATGTGTTTCTTCCTACGCATTTTGGTTCCACGTCTGGCGCGAAATTTGTCACAAATATATTGTGGTGTGGTTCCCACGACGCAGTCAACTGAATTTGCCGTTCTTTTCTGCTATCGAAGAGCTTCTACGAATTGCTCGACATTCTCAGAATACACCCCTAGTGGCTGTTGTTGGATATGCGCTAAGTGGAATCTGATACATTTTTTTGGGGTGGTCAACATTATCAGTCACTTCTTCGATGAATTCCAGTGTGAGATCGGGAGCAGTAGTAAACAGTTAATTCAATTGGGTCATACACATGAAGTAGTGTAAAATTAAAAAAAAAATGTTTAAAATTGTGTATCAGTTTACAATTATAATATATCCGATTAAATATACTTTGAAAAATGTCAGACTCGTCAAGTGTTCTACTCCATGTTCGTAAGACCTGTTCTGTTCTGGTTTATTTGACACCCTGCTAAGCGTTTAGTTAGTTTTACTTGTTTGCTAAACCGTATTTCCAACAATGGCGCAAAGTTTACGAGCCTGAGTACATACAACGAACAGATCGTTCTATGAACAACCCTAAATTGCTAGAATAACGTCAAATCGTCCAAAAAACTAAAATAACAACACAAATTCGTTAAAATAAAACATACCCTTTCTTTTTTCGGCTTGGGTATTTCGACTTCAAGCTCCGATAATCCTCTAGCGAGCCTTTTTGTCTGTATCGTGTATTTGATTTCTTCTTTGAGTACTGCGGTTAAACTGCCCGTGTTCTCGCTGTCCAGCTCTGTCAGCTCTTGTTCGTGCTTGCCATGGTTGTTCACGTAAACCATCGTTGTCTCCATTTTATTTTCCTAAGTGATAATATAAAATAATTTTTAAATGTTATAAGGTGAACGAATTCAAGTTTTTTTTGAAATAAAAAGAAACATTTTTTAAAATACCAAAAGAAAACAAATGCATACTATTTCCTGACGCAAAGACGAATACTGATTCGCTGTTTTCCCTGAGAAAAATAATTCAAAGTTTGGGCTAAAAACGTCTGTTTCGCCATCTTATATAGTGGATTGCTAATGTTTTTAGACCTTTCGTCATGTATTCTGCCAGGGAAATTTAGCAGTCCCACGTGATTCGCATCGACCAATGAGGATTCTCGTATACGAATATTTCCCCCAACTAACATTCCAAAGGTTCTCCCATATAAAAAGGGGGATTTCTGAAACTCAGACATATTTTCAAATCAAAGACGCCGAATAAAACAATTATAATAAGTATATATTCGAAAATAATGTTGTTAAAGTTCAAAGTACCGTATTGTAACATGATACGATGTTTCTGTGTAAAACGGACTCATCTGTTGGAGAGGTGACTGTCACATTTACCTGGTACATTCAGTGTCATTTGGGTTCAGGTATTTTTTATTTTTTTATTTTCAAAATATGATATTATATAAGAAGAATGCGTGTACTACGAAGATATATCGAGCCAATGGGTGCGGATTTACGACCTTGGTGCGTAAGCGTATACCATTTATACCGCCAATGGACTCGGACAGGAACGTGTATACGTTTATGCACAAAATCATTTTAAATGATTATACGAGGTCTGCGTAGGATACAAGGTACAGGTACATGACTCGCAATTTCATCGGAAAATACGTTGACTCACGGCCATGTTCTTGTGAGATAACCCCCTAGCCAATTACTTATCTCAGACGCCATTTTGTGTTTGACACAGTTGTTGTTGTTGTGTTGTTCATAGTTGGACAAGACTACTGTAAAATGACTAATTTTCACGGGGTTTAAATTTCACTGATTTAGCATTTCAGGCATATTCATTGGGTTTTAATTTCACGGTTTTATCATTTAGATAATGTGTTCTATGCTCAATTTTACATATTCACTGGGTTTTAATTCTAAATTAGCGCATTTTCCAGTCAGCGAAAAAAGCAACATTAAAACCCAGTGAATAATTAACCCTTTCACAGTATTCACGTAAAAACGCAAACGATAACGATAACGATCTGATGGGACTAGTTTACTTGTTCTCGTCACAGAACCAGAAATAGGAATAAAACACGCATCAAGAGTTCTAAAAAACACATACTACTGAAATGTCAGTCAGAAATGACAATAGGCAAAAGACTTTAAACACGTAATAAAAAAGTCCCGTTTCATTGAGAGACTTTATACAGTATGGATTATCACTTGTATTAGTGTAATTACAGTCAATATTGAGCTGAGAATCTCAACAAATTCATGGCATTTTTTTCAATTCTATAACTGCCTGACTGTCCGGTAGTATGAAGGTTATACTGTATCGGAGTACGTGCATTCAGTCAGTCAGCGAAATCCAAACAAGGTCGCAGATGTGGCAACCTTGCCCTATTTAGTGCTAGTGGACAGATGCCAATGACAGGACGGCGGTGTGGAGCTTCTAGGATACGGTTAAATTCAGAAAACATATCCAAGGGTATCAAATATAAATTGTCAAGTAAAAAATGTTGATCTTAAAAAAGTATGAGAAATAAAAAAAACGCAATTATAAATGCAGGTAAACTTTTAGAAGAGGAAAGTTTGAACCAACTAGAGATTGGAAAGCCACATATAACTTGCCATTTAGAGTGGCAATAGATGTTAAGACCAGAGAATTTCAGTTCAGATTACTCCACCATATTTTATATACTAATTATGACCTAAAGAGAAGGGGGGTACAAATATCTGAATTATGTACATTCTGTGGAGGTGAGAGTGAGACACTTGAACATCTTTTCTTTTCATGTGATGCAACACAATTTTTCTAGTTAAAGTTCCTCCATTGTTTCAGAGATGCATTAGTAATGAGGGAAGTGCCAAGTCTAGGTGAAATTTTATTTGGGGAAGCGACTTTGTCTAGGTTGCACAACCACTTACTGCTTCTGGCTAAAAGACATATTTATCTTATGAAAATGAGAAACCTAAAACCCAATTTTCCAACTTTTCTGAACAAAGTCAAGTATAACTATCATCTTGAATATACATTGCTGTGAACATAGACACACTTGAAACGCACTGTAATAAGTGGATTAAAATCCACCAAATTGTTATGTCTTGAATGCACTTGTATATTAGTCTGTATATGTACCCAGTGTATTCTGCTTACTGTATGCATTATGAATGATTACCAATAAAAACTTATAAATATAAAAAAAAAACTTTTAGAAGAGAATGTTTGGTTCAAAATAGTATTACATGTGTAGTGCAGTTTACTTTGCTACACCCTTGAACAAGTTTTCCCTACTGATACGCAAATGACACTCTCCAAACACTGGTGGCGCTCTCACTTCCGTAATTTACATATGTTCTGTAAGTGCATGAAAAATGTGGTGATTCGCAACATTTTGCCCATGCGTTTAACTTTCATGATTTTTACGGAATAAATATGGCGATGGAATCGTGCAACGAACTTACTTGGTGTGTTTAGGCTGTATATGTCACTTTTGTGCGAGACTTACTTCTTCCAAAGTCACGTATTTCCATGTTTACATTTGTGATACTTGGCTGAAAAAGCCTTCAGTTCTCGCAGATTGCAGCCTGTGTCATTAGATCAGAACTGCTTATACTAATCTCGTGAAATCGCAAAATTCAGATAAAAGGAGAAATGCCGAACTTCGCACAGTTCGATACGCACTACTTACCATCACTGCAAAAAGCAGATTTGCATACCACTCATTTGCATATCAGACTATGTTCGAAATACAACTGCATGTTAACACAGTTATGTTCAAGTCATCCGCTTATTTTTATTACTTAAACGTTTTAAACCCTAAATCTGAATAAAACATTCGGTTAATTAGATTAAAATATGCAAGATTTGCGTTAGAAAAAGCTTAATATCCTATCAACTTGAACTTACTAGAACCTTTGTGTTTTATGACTGTTAGACGCGGAAAATCGAATCCGTTAAAGCCAGAAATAATATTGAAATATTCACAAGAAAACAAGATGAAAAAAAATGACAGGCAATCCCTGAGTAAACCTAGTGTTTGATCTTTCTGTATCAATTATGTACGTAAACAGAATATATAAGTTGTTTCTTCACAGGGTTAGTGTTTCACGTGCGGCATTTCACTCCAATAATATTACTTCGCACAACGCGTTTACAAATTAACGTTTCTATAGAAGTCAGACATTATTTAATAATTAGGTTATCATAAACAATTTGTTTTATGTTTTGCGGTGTATTTCAGGTTCTGAAAAATGGTCATGAGTAAAATCTGCATTGTCAGAGAAAAGAATTTAAATTAAAGGTTTATTACTTGAAAGCGATATTACTTTATTTTTAATATTTGTTATTATTTTATGTTAGTTCATGTTCATAACTATCGATTACCAAAACATAATCAATAAAAAAATAGGATCTTATTTTTATCAGATTGGTAGCCTCCAGTGCCCGAAAGAATATATTAGTTGTGCGCTGAGGGCGCTCGTAAATAAATCCCAGGTTGCTCAGGGACACAAAAAATGTACTGTAACACATACCATAGAGGTAAAAGACAGAATGACCTTTACCTCCATGTACATGCAGAGTGAACGTATTGAACACTGTTACATTGTTAGATGTATTGTTTACGAACATCTCAGTTCATGTTCATAACTATGTTGGCTTTACGATTATCAAAACTTAAAAACAAGCAGCCTGTCGGCTGAGATAGCTCCGCTGTTAGCAATGCACATTGCAATTAAAGAACAGAAGATATCATTAGAAAACGAACAATATGTATAGTATCAAAGCAACAGGACTTACTGTTTTCAACAAGAATTCAAAAATATCACTTTTCACCAAAAATAATCATCAAAATTAGATAATTGAAGATATCATTACAAAATAAACAAATCTGAGAGAGGTCCACATGTATCAATATATATGTAATAACAAAGTAATTGGACTTGCGGTTTTCAACAAGAAGTCGAAAATTTCACTTTTTACCAAAAATGACAAAAATATTCACCAAAATTAGAGAATTGAAGATATCATCATGAGGAACTGTATAATGTATCTTCAGTAATTATTAAAACAAATTTCAGTCTACCTTACACCACTACAATTTCAACAGATCTTAGAGCTTTTCAGTTTCAAATTATTCATAGATATATTCCAACGTTTTCAAAACTTTTTGAATGGAAGCGGCTAGTAGCCTCCCCTCTCTGTGTTATGTGCCATACAGAAATTGAAACCATAGAGCACTTGTTTGTGGAATGCCACTGTGTACAGTCATTGTGGGAAAAACTGCAGCAAAACTGTAATTTAATTTCAAATACAGATTGTAATGTATAAATATTATACTTGGCATCTATGAGGTGAAAAATATTATGTTGAATCATTTTATTTTATTGTTTAAAAAATACATATACAAATGTAGGGGAGAAGCGAAAATCTTATCATTCTTTGGTTTCAAGGCATACATTAAAGACCATGAACATATAGAACATCAACTTGCTTTAAACAGAGGCAAAATATTATATCATTATCAGAAATGGGAGCCAGTTAGAATTTGGATTAACGGATAGCCACTCATTCAAGCCAGCAGTCAACAAGGAAGCAAACTGGTTAAAATGTTATTTTGCAATTGTAAATAATTTCTTTTTGGATATTGAAATAGTACAAACAAAACATGACAGCTGGCTTTGAAGGGTACAAAATAGAAAACACCATATTAGCCCACATCTCATTCTTGTTTTCGTTTCAGTTTTTTTTTTTTTTTTTTTTGTGTATGTATGCTTTTGTTACTGTATATTTTTATGTTGTGTGAAAAATAAAAAAAAATCTTAAAAAAAATCAAAAAAAAAAAATCATGAAATGAACAAATCTGAGA